CTAGTTTAACTTGATGTACTAAAATAACTAAAACTGAAATAAAAACTTAAATAAAATAAAACTTTAATAAAATATGAAATATATAAAAAGCATTTTAAAAAATGGCAAAAAACACAACAAAATTAGTGAAAGGTTAACTAAAATGAAAATGAAAAGAGGAAACATAAAAATTAAAACTAATTCAATAATAAAAAAACTATAATGATACTAAAATATCACTGCACCAAACCAAAACTAGGTGTATTACCATCACTATATGCAAGGCCAAAGTAAAAGTGTTCCACGAGGTTTGCATGAGCGACGATCATATCAAAGACGTCGGCTCCTCGGGACTTGACGTCACACTTGAGCAGAATGTTCTGTGCGTTTGGCATCATCACTGTCAAGTCCCTTTGGTTTGATCGTGACCTCCCTTTGTTTGACTGCTTAGAAAGAGAGAAAGAGAGAGGAAATAAGTGCAACCCTTCTTAGTATTATGTAACAGATTGCTTGGTGTCGAGCCAATACTCTCGCTCTTAGCGATATTAAACCGACCACAATAGAATTAGGCAGCTCTAAATCCACCAGAGGCTCCTCCAGCATTTGGATGAACTCTGGGCCCGCATCCTGAGGACCAGCACAGACGAGAATTACTCAGTGATCCTGAATGGAAGGTTTTATAACCTGAGAGAAATTTCACATTTAGGCACTTTTAGTCCCTTACCTTTATTTTCCGTTCATTAAGGCTAAATGAAGAGCCAAACAGCTGATTTGACCTTGAGCTGAAGTGGCGCCGTCTGTCAGGAACAGGACTTTGGCTCAGCCATGTCATGTTTCTGCTCCTTTGGTGTGAACTATGACTTCTAGAAGATGAAGTGCAGTGAGTTTGGATCTTAACCCTATAAAGCACATCTCTAAGGCCTCTGAATGATCAACATGTTAGACCTGCTGCACACAATCTGCTCCATGCCTTCTGTCGTCTGATCGATAGTTTAGACTTTTTTTACTCTAATTGTACAAACGTCCAGCTTCAGCTGGTGTGCTTCACGAGTCTTTTTGCTGTCAAATCTTGACTGGTTTTTATAAAGTAAACATAAGAATAACTTTTATATTGTTAATAATATTTCAAGATGAACACCTACTGGACTGAAGCTACGTCGTTTTTTTTCCCGTTTTTTTTTTTAGAAAAATCATGTTCAAATGTGAGTCTCAAATATGATCATCAGGC